GTACTACCTTATATTCATATTATTTTCTCATAATGATATTTTTAAAATGTTCAACTTTTAATAATAAGTACTTCAATGCTATCGGTAGGCTAGGCTAGCCCAGGCCCTAGGTCTTGTCTAGGCCTAGGTAGCCTAACCTAGGTAGCCTAAGCAAGATTTATTGCCATTAGGGGTGAGTGACTTGAGACCTAAATATTTAACAGATGCATTGGTTTGATTGATTTCTGGGCCCTTTGTTAAATATTAGAAAGCCAAACCAGGCCAGATGTAAAACACGCTCATCTGTCCCTGTTATAACCAGATTCGATTTTGCAGCATGGGTGATTTTTTTTAATTTATTTATTCAACATTTTGACAGGGTAGCTCAAACAGCAATGCTACAGAAATTATGAAATTGCAAATCAAACTTCAAATTTAATTGTCGCTAATAGATATTTAGAAACAAAATTTTTTCCTGTCTGTGGTCTAGTAAAATATTCTGTGGGCTAGTAAAATCTCTAGTAAACTAGCCCAGTGGGCTAGTTACCAACAAAAGTTAGGGCAAGCCCTGAAGACCAGGAAATCAAAAAGTGCTCTTTTATTATATGGAGACCTGCATACATTATTCTGTGTCATGTGCATTTGTATTTTAATGTAAACTAAGTTTATAGATATATTCAGCCTTATCTACTTGGTTAGTTTCTGGCTCTAAAGAGCATATCTAAAGCAAGCAAAAGTTTGATAATGTAAACAATTATTCAACTATATATTTATTACAGTGCAATGAAATATTTGTAAATAATGTTCACGAAATATCATTCCACCTATTTGGTCACACACCTTATAAAAGGGGCCCTTGTTTGTCCATCACTATCCAGTTGAAACAGTTTATCTGCCCTTAGACCATCTGCAACAATTAGCACCAACCGGTCAGCTGGTGGTGGTATCTCGGTGGATATTGGCGTCATACCATGTACCAACGGTGATGTGAAGTAAATGTCAAAGATTGACATGAAAAAGACAACATGGACCAAGAACCCGACAACGACAAACCAAGAATCCATGTTTCATTTTTGAGTTCCTTGAATAATTCAGATGGTAGCTGTAAAGAAACAAATTTTATAATTTAATACCGTAGTTCCATGGGGTAAATATACCTACAGTACCTATAACAGTGGCGGATCATGAAATTCTTAACAGAGGAGCCCAGGGAGGGATTTTCCGAAATAGTGGATCCAGCCATCTGAGCCCCAATGAGGTAAGACATTTTAATGTTTATGACACCTCTAGATAGCTAGAAATGGCACTCAAGGACTTATAATTTTCATACAATTTTATCAATTTTTTTTTTCCTTCATTATTTTTTTAACTTTAAAAGATTTTATGAGAGGCTTGGTCAGCTAGGCTCCCTTGAATCCACCTCTGTATAAGTTGACCTCCATTTTGATTGGTCATTTTCAGAAATTTTAGGGAATGCTGTCAATTTAAACAGGCTGTGAAATAAGTTCCGAGGATTTTAGGTAAATCTGAGGTGTTGATTGGTGGAGCTGGCTTGACCCTAATTTTAACCTTCAGTCTTGTTTTATCTTAAATCTACTGTACTATCATCCTGTCCGAGGGATATCCACAGTGATTTAAAAAAGGATCGTCATGTTGCTTTTAATTTTTAATAAAGAGAAAAATAGGTTATCATATCATCACCTCTGAAATCAAAGAAAACTAATGATTACAGGCAAATTACTAATAATATAAGACAAAATATTCAACTACATATACACGGCAGCTAACGGTTAGCAGGATCCGGATCCTGCCAACCGTTAGCTGCCGTGTGTCCATATGAGAAAATCCTGATCCGGATACCAAGAATATGATGATCGAATCACTGGCCAATAAGAAACTGGAAATTGTAAATGTGTACGTGTGATTGGTTGATGGTAGAAACGCGCTCACTTGCTAACCGATAGCGCTTGCTAACTGTTAGCGGTATCCGGATACCGATAACCGATCGGCCGTTCTCACACAGGTGCTAATGGTTAGTGCTAACGGTAGCTCCCGATCGGGATACGGGGCATTCCGCAGTATTTTTTCTGTCACGGACGGGACATTTTCAGAATATAACCAGTTATATCTTAGTAACAATATAGACTATAAGACTTATAGTATGATCAATGTTTACATGTATGCCTAAGGTTAATTATTGGGGGAGAAAATTTTTAATTTTATGATAAAAAATGTATGCATCATGGACGGGACAAAATTTGGACGTGACTTTCAGAAAGGTTTACATATTCTAATATTTCTCCTCATCTAAAAGAGATATTAATTATTTTTTGTTTAATACTATCCCCAGATGATTGTTTACTAGCTACCTAGCTAGGCCGGTGTAGCTAGGTAGGCCTAGGCTAGGCATAATATAGGCCTAGGCCTGGCAGGCTAGGCCTAGGCCTAGCTAGCCTAGACCCTAGGCCTAGCTAAAACATTTTTTAAGAGTAGGCTAGTCTATGACATAATTTTATATTTCAATCTTAAAGACTTCACAAATTAATATTATAATATTAACAGGAAACTAAAGAAAAAGGCGAATAACCTTCGGCGAAAAATTGACCATGCACCATGCGCCTAGGCCATAGAGGTATATAAAGTACTGTATGCCAAAACCATAGAGCTATCATATCTCTATGGCCAAAACAAAACAGGCTTCGGTCGGTCATGTTCGATCTCCACAACCGCGCTACGTCTGTTTGGAGCCTACTATTTCATTTCGGGTCTCTAGGGGGTACAAATGTATGAGGCTCCAAGTGTAAATTTATTATTTAACACAATTATTTATATATAATTCATTATTTAACATATAATTGACTAGATCACCCATTACATATATATGTTGCATTTACGTCTAAAAGATTATATGTAAATAATTGCGCTAACGTTTCATTATTTATATATAATTAGTTTACTGATTACATTATATATAAATAATGAAAGGCTAATCGAACATTATTTATATATAATAAGGTTACTGGCTTCATTATATATAAATAAGGAAGGGGAAACACATCATTATATATAAATAATGAAAAATAACTTACAATTATTTATATATAATAAGTACACTGATTCCATTATAGGTAACAAATCATTATATATAAATAATGAAAAGTAACTTACAATTATTTATATATAATAAGTTCACTGATTTCATTATATATAAATAACGAATTGACTTCAAACTCATTATTTATAAATAACTGCTTTTACATTTCATTATAAATAAATAATAGCTGTCGCAAAACAAAACACTGGTGTCCTTGGATTCAATTATGGGTAAACAGATTAGTTTTTTTTATGAGGTTTTAATTGTTCTTTACCGCCGAAAGTACGGTATTCTAACGTTAGTTTAAGGAGGGCTGGTGGGCCTAATGATTATACGTAATGCACACGTATTATGGTGTCAAGGTCATTATATCTAAATAATGGTTTTTACTTCCATATAGGCCTAACTAACCATTAAACTCGAGTGCCATTATATCTAAATAATGACATCGTAGGAAGCATGGTTTATAAATAATTCGTTATATGCAAATTACGAAGTATAAATATTCACCAGTGCTCTAAAGTTACAATTAGGTCCTATTCACCTATCCAAAATGGAATAACCAAGGTATACAGCAGATTATTGAATCCAGTGGTGGTATAATAATAATACTGTAATAATAATAATAATAATAATAATAATGATAATAATAATAATAATAATAATAATAATAATAATATTAATAATAGTAATAATAATAATAATAATAATAATAATAATAATAATAATAATAATAATAATAATAATAATAATAATACACATTTTTAAAGCGCCTATTAAAGCAAACAAAACTGGCTTGTCACCGGCGCTGGAGGATGTTAGAAAGAAGTGGAACTATTTGAAGAGGAAGGATTTAAGAATAGATGTAATTGCGGATCAGAAATGATACGTAATTGAGGAGGCAGTGAGTTACAGAGTTTAGGAGCAGAGAAAGAAAAAGAGCGTTCACCGGTACGAATATGCTTGACTCGTGGAGTAACAAGTTTGAGGGATTGAGAAGAAAGAGTAAAACGGGAAGAAACATGTTTGTCAATAAGCGAACAGAGATAAAGTGGGGCACGACCATGGATAGATTTTTGGGTGAGAAGAAGAATTTTAAAAATGATTCGCTTATCAACTGGAAGCCAGTGAAGAATGTTTAAAATTGGCGTAATGTGGGTGACCCTTTTAGACAATGTTACAACACGAGCAGCAGAGTTCTGAAGTTTCTGAAGGTGTCTAATGCTAATAGCAGGTAAACCATTGAGCAATGCATTGCATAAGTCAAGTTTTAGGCCTATATTTGTAAATGGGAGCAACTTTAATTGTGTAATTGTTAATCACCATAGGAATTTAAATTATTGTTTACGTATGTAGGTGTGTCAGAAGTGCACAAATGAATGGTGTAGTAGAGTGAGACAAGGGCGGTTTTGCCACTATTTAAAAAATTTCAAGCTTATTAATGTTATGTGCTACTCATTTATCTATTCTGGAACTGTTGTGTTCCCCCTCCCCTTTAAAAAATTTTGGATCCGCCCCTGTGGCAAGTATCAACAGTACAGTAATAATGACATCATACCAATTTTCTATTAAAGTTCAAAACCCACTGTTTTTTTTTTAACTTGTGGAAAGGATAACATTGACTAATTAGTATAATTTAAGATATATCATTATTTTTATGAATGTGGGTATGTTTGTTTGTTTATTTATTTATTTACTCTAAGATAGAGATGGCAGGCTATAAAGGAAATTCCCATTCCCAATAGGATTCACTTACCATATACATTCAGAACAAATAGAACTTTATTATTTGTTAACCTAAAAATCCATTAAATACGACTTGCTATACATAAGGCTATAGGCGTCTTCCCCGTCTTCCCCGAAACCGACTGGGGCTTTCCCCTGCCTCCCAGGCAAAGCTTGAGCAAATTGTTTGCTCAAAAATCAAAATAATAGAAATTTTAAAGTATACGGTAATTCGTATATAACTCGCACAGGTTGTTGTTCGCACAAGTGGATCTTCTTCCGCTCGAACTAGCATCCGCTCGAAAAAAAATCCGCTCGAATTCGCTCGAATTGGCCTTCGCTCGAAGTTGCATAGGCTAGAATTGACTGGCTCCCAGGCTGGGACATGAAAGGTTGTTGTTTGTTGTTATTTCGCAATTCGCGACGTCATCAACGAGTACAATACATTCAATCCCGTAACATGATTGGTCTATTTTTTCCTAATTTGCATAATGAATTTTTCTAACATTTTTGTCTATTTAAAAAAAGTGTGTAAGTTATGGAGATGGTAACGATCATAAATCGATTATAAATTTAATTACACATTTTTAGACAAAAAAATAAACCCTCTTGGCCTACGGCCCATATTTTTTGACACCCCATGCGTAATATTAACCTGCAGTGTATATATACGAAGAATTTTTTTCTAATAGGGTAAGAGTTGACTAACTGGTACTTGGTGTGGTACTAGGTTTATCGCATTTATGGCTTATGGATCGCGGTTTGCCTCCCTCCGTTTAGCTGGATCAGATCAGTAGTAAACTCGGCGAACGTGGGTTCGATTCCCACACGGGGCAAGTTTTTTTTTTAATTTTCAAATTTTTTTTAAGGTCGTGGGTTCGATTCTCACACGAGTCAGTTAATTTTTTTTTTTTTAAACAGTTTAGTTGATGGTGGATAATGATAGCAAACCTGGAGGTTGTGTGTTCGATTCCCACACGAACCATTTTTTTTTGAAAGGTTGAAGGCGGATAATGAATACCGGTACCAAACCTGGTGGTTGTGTGTTCAATTCCCACACGAACCAATTTTTTTCTTTTTTTTAAAGACAGTTTAGTTGATGGTGGATAATAAATAGCAAACCTGGAGGTTGTGTGTTCGATTGCCACACGAAACATTTTTTTTTGAAAGGTTGAAGGCGGATTTTTTTTTTTTTTTTTTTATGCTGGCGTATTCCTAGACAGGATTGTTTATTCAATTTATATTGAAATTAGTGTTTTGATGGTAATTTTATTTTCATTCAATGGGAATTTATATATTTTATGAGAAGAATTTATGAATATTCACCTTTCCGTTTACTGGATCCGCCACTGATTATAGCTCTGGAGTTGGAAAAGTCCGTTTTGGTATACCAATTAATTATGCCTCCCTAGCCTTGGAAAAAAAAACAGGTCAGGGGTTGAAGGTTAAAGTTTGCGCAACATTCATAAACATCAAAATTGGCAGTTTTCGTTTGCGCGGTGAAATAGTTTGTTGACGGACGATTACGGACTAAAATCGTATGTTATGCTACACATGAAGAAGCTATATTATTATAGACGTATGTAATACCCATTAGCCTTAGGGTATTTCATATATTCAACGAATCATGCTAGATTTAGAAGTTGGACCAGGGAGATCCCTTGGAAGCGAACAATGGGAGTTCACTCTTGGTTAGTTTGTTCTCGTTTTGTTTATTTATGCCAGCTGATAATAAACGTCACAGTGTTCAACCCAACCCAGAACTTGCTATGGCTCACAGGCCTAGGCCTAGTATTAATTTAAATTGTGCTATTAAAGACATACCCCAACTTCCTTCTCTAATGTAAAATTAATATAAACAAAGGCCTATTATTAATAATAGCCTAGCCTAGGCCTAGTAGTAGTAGTAGTAAAACAAGCAGCAATAGGGGCCTAGGCCTATTATTAATATAGGACCTAGGCATAGGCCTACACTGTCTGTACAGCAGTTGAGCATCCCTGTCAGTATCGCCATTTCATTAAATCAAAACAAATTCAAGGCTAGGCCTAGCTAGGCTCACTGACACACTGAAGCCTAGGCTGGAACTACCACTTGATTTGGTCACCCCAGCCCAGTGTTGAGTGAGCAGTCATATGACGAATTAAGATTGAAGTTCTTTTAAAAACCACATAATAATTTATGGATCATATGATAGATCAGTTGAACCATGGCGTTATAATTATTGAACCATGGAGTTCTCATATGAATTCTACCTGCCTAGCTAGGAGGCCTAGGCCTACCCTAGGCTGTCCTTATTTTAAAATATTGATTTTCTTGCTTTCCAATTCAGTGACATACATGCGATTTTTCTTTTTAATAATTTTATTTTTTTTATGAATCATTTAATTTCCACTGTAGGGATGCCTTTGATGCAGGCAATTACAATTCTTCGACGACAATGCCGTATAGTCAAAGAAGTTCAAGTGTTGTATTGTGAGCAGGTAACTGTGCCATACTCTAAAGTTTTATAGTTGCGTGAACGATATCTTAAAAATCAGCTCAAATATGCGTGGAAAATCGCTAAAAATATAGATGCGCAGAATCTTAATTGCTGCATTAAATTCAAATTGCATTGGTTAATATGTCTTAGGATTTGGTCAAAGCCTAATTTTCGGCAAAAACTGCGCTGATTGGCTGAGGTCAAACAAACAGGACGACCTATATCGTTGCTAGTGATGTAAAGTATCAAAGTAAAAAAGTGTCTGAATGCTGTTGAAGTTTGCGAATGATTGCGAACAATTTGGATTACAACTGTTTACCACCAATTATATCGCAACCGGTCGCAATGCAAAGTCTGGTCTGAATAGGGTATTACTGAGAGACACATTGGTTGATATGAATCATATAGTGGAAGTTTTATACATTTTATAGATGTATAATTTAAACAATTGGATTTGATTGAATTGAATTAATGATGAATTGTCTCCTGGAATTCAGTGCCAATAGGTATTACCATGTGCAACAAAATAAAGATATGATGTATTAAGAAACATTTGAACAGATCTTCCGTAAGTGCATGTTTATAGTTACTCCAAATTTAAAGTGTGTGCGCTCGCTGCCAACCGTCCGATTTCCGAGTTTTTGTATACCATGCGAAAACTCTAAAATTGGATTTCTGTACCTGGAGCAAATACTCCAATTTCGGGGATTTTACTTCCTAAACTTAATAATTTAACGACCTCTCCCTATATAGAGAGAGAGCAAACTTTTAATAAACTTTATGATTTCGGAGGTTTTGCGTCCTAAACTTTTTATTAATTAAATAAGCTCTCCCTATAATAGAGAGAAAAACAAAATTGAAATGTCAGAGGGTTGATTGAAAGTTGTGCTCTTTATATATACAGTATGGAGATCTTGTTTAATTACTCCATGGTTTAATTAATAATAAATTTAGGATGCAAAACCTACGAAATTGTAGTACTGTATTTGCGACGTTCAAGGGTCCCAAGAAGGAAAGTTGATGACTTTTTTGTACAAATACAATACTGTACATTTGTGCTTTCCACAGGAGCCCCTGTCACTTGATCTGGTGCTGAATTTAACTCAGGATGGAATTAAGTTGAGATTTGATGCTAAGTTGCAACGGTTAAAAGTAAGAGTTGTTTGAAAATTTATGTTAAATAAAATGGTGTGCAATTAATGATGAGGTGTTTAAAAGCTCTGTCCAGCTTATTAAGTTTTCTTTAACAAAAGAAACTCTGTATGCTCATATTAGTTCATGATGTGCCCATATATGGTCATAATGTGATGTCATCATGACCATATTTAATCATCTGTCATGTCTCTGTCAACATTGGTAGTCTAGACAGGATTCAAGGTTTTGGATTTCAATTAAATTAGTTATTTAAGTTTGATTATAGACCCCTTTCATCGTTTACATTGGCCCTGGCTGAAACGTTGGCAGCGCACTACTAGGTAGGCAAGGAAAATTCCTGCAGCCAGTAGACCAGTAGTTGTGTGTAAAATCAGAAAACTGGCATAGGCCAAGGTAAATATATTAGGAATTGACAATAAAACCAAAAATCTAAGAAATTATGTTTTTTTCTAATTTTACTCAATTTCTAAAATCATTTTCGTCTTATCTATTTATATATATATATGTTGCCAAGTACGGGAGCACTAGGCCAAGAACGTGAAAGCTTTCTACACATGACGCTACCGCAGTTGGCTGGTGCTTGGATGGATGCTGACAACAAAATAGTACAGCAATTCGGCTTATGAGTTTAAGATCGAAAGAAAAACTCATTGTTCAGGATATGCAATCCATTCCACTGTCTTAATATTACTTTTAGGCAACTATAATGTTTACCAAAAGTTGCTGCAGTAATGATTACTGAGTAATTATTCCTTTTATTCAAAAAACGCAAAATGCTTGTCAAAGTTAGCGTAGCGTCACTGAGTGGCAAACAGAAAATTCATAGACCCATTCGAGCCCCTTCATAGCGGCTCTTTCACTTTCTTGGCCTAGCGTGCTCGCACTTGGCAACATTCGAGAGATAAGAGGAAAATGATTTTAAAAATTGAATTACAATAGAAAAGTCATAAATTTTTCGATTATTATTTATTTATTTAATTTTTATTCCTAATATATTTAACTATGTCATATGTAAGTTTCCTCCATGTAGCTTTCGTACGTACAGCACAGCAAAATGAAAAATAACCAGTTTTCTGATTTTACACGCAATTGGCCTATCTTGGGAATTTTTCTTGCCTACCAAGTAGTGCGCCGCCAACGTTTCAGCCAGGGCGAATATAAACATTGAAAGGGTCTATAAAGCAGATCTTTAATGTACTTTTTGTACTCTCATCATTATAATTTGCTTGTGAATTATTCTTGTAAACTGCACAATTTTTGTATCTTGCACTGGTAATCGCATATCAAACACAGTGATGATCTATGCTTTATTTTAGAGTTATATACAAACTAAACAAAATTTTAAATCTATAATGACATGACTGGTGAAGAAATTTAAATGAAATGAATACTTTTCTTTCCAATTTTTTCTTAGGTTATTGAGGTGTATGATCTTTCAAAAGTCAAACTGAAATACTGGTAATTATTATTAATGATTTGTTTGTGGGGGTTACCCTGGTCTCAAAGAATATATTAACAGAGAGTTTTTGATTATACTTTACACATGTACCCCCTATTACTAAAGATCCACTTTAAGATCTATGTTGTCACTTTTGTGACAACATAGGTTCTACAGTATTATTTCATTGTTTTATTTTTTATGTTTCTTATAATTGCCGTAAATGCTCCAAATTTGGTTTTAGTGTCTGTATCAGACATGCCAACCACTCTGATTTTACTCCGTTTATTTAAACAAAACTCCGCACTCCGATTTTGGGTAAAAAATCTAGGCTTTTTATGCATTACGGCCGGCTGAAATAAATCACGCATTTCCAAATAATAAAATCCTATGATTTAAATAAGAACAAGACCAGTTTATTTTTTCCAGCACAGCGCTTTGAACCGAATACGAAAAAGTTAAATTCATGCTCCATGGTCTACTGATTTAGAAAAAAAACTATTTCATTGGTCATATAGTTGTCAGGGTGGCACTCTGAACTCTATACGAAAAGGTAATTCGCACTCCACGATCTACTGATTTCGAATAAAAAAAAACATATTCCATTGGCCAAATCACTGACAGAGTTGCACTGCACTCTGAACTGTAAAACCTCCATGATCTACTGATTTCGTAAGAACAACAGTCTAGTAGCACAAGTACCAAAATGGAGAGCAATGTGAATGTAGGCCTAGGCAGAGCTTGAAAAACTAGTAGTAGTTGGGTTGAGCTTCCTCCAAAAAAGAAGCTAAAACATGTGCAAAAATTGCATGCAAGTTTTAACGAGAGGTATCCTGTCATTTTTAAATCGAAACTAGGAGATGCCTACTCTCGTAGTGACCTGTGCGGTGTTGACTTTCTATGTTGGCCTAGGCCTAGTCTCGAACGGCGGTGTTGCTAATGTAAAACGTCATTGTGAGTCCAAACGCCATTTAAAATATGCCAATAATACTCGATCACATTGGTACCATATATCTTGGGAAGAAATTTAACATACTCCACTGACATTGCCAAAACTCCTCTTGAAAGGTTTTCAGACTCTTCTTGTTGGCCTTGTAGGGTGGCATGTCTGCTGTATAACTGTTTTTTTAATTAATACACAGACATATCAAAATAAACCTCTTTAAAAAATGTATATTTACATTTGTTTTTTTTCCCTGTTTATTTACATTACTATTTTTACATTTATTTATACATAATTGAACATTTTGAGTTTACCACATTCACACACATATTTTATCTTTTCACATTTTACATTTGAATTTTAAAATTTAATGTTTTGTAAATGTTTTTCTTGTGTTTTTTTTTGTAGTGGCAATCATTTCAGTAGCTCAAGCGTACAACCCACAATTGAGAAAGTATATGGAACATTTGGTGCTACACACCCAGGCATCTATGACCCTACCCACAGCCTTTTCACCATCAATTTCAGGGGGCTGTCATTTCATTTTCCAGTCCCACAACATATAAAGTTTGAGGTTAGTAAACTTCTTGTTTTCTTAATAAATTTGTCATTTATATTTTATCTATATCTGGATTGATCACCATGTATGAAAAAATGCAGAGAGCTCTCTAAGTTCCAATCAAAATATTAAAATAAATTTAATAACATCCATTGAGACACAGAACAAAATGGTTTTCTTTTGTAAATTAAAATCCTTAAATTGGTTAACCACCAGACAATTTAAAAATGTAGGGAAGTATTAATAATACAATGTTATAGCTTAGCTGATATTCAGGGCCCTTTTAAATATACAATAAAAATAATAATATGATGCTTCATAAGCTATGTCTCATTATGTGGCATAGGTAGCGGAGACGTTTATTAATCAATGAGAAAATCCTTTTAAATGACCATAGGATTGGAATGTCTGCTTAGTGAAGAACTCAGTTATGTTTCACTCTTGCAACTCATGTTTTATATTTACTATTTATCCACTATACTCATCAAAATGTACAATTAATCTCACTTATCAACTCAATTTGCTTTAATGTCTTGAGTAAATTTTTGTGTGTTGTATTTTAGTATTTTAAAATTTTAAACTCTGGTTTTATTATGTATGTTTGTATTTACTGGAATAAAAATGTTCCCGCCAGAAATCTCCTTTTATGGACAATTAAAGAAATCTTGAATCTTGAATTCAACCATCTTTAACCAGCAACCTTCATCTCCTCTACTAAATAAATTATTACTTAGCAACTGAGATATTTTCACATTCTCATTTTTGTTGAAAGCACATAACTTACTTAAATATACTGAAAGAAATTCATAAATTGGTTTAGATAGTGTACAGTATCTACAGTATTTTAAGTGAGGAAATATTGAACATTTTTTTTTCAGACATCTGCCATTCATGGTTTAAGTTCCTTACCTATTCCTAAAAATGGTTCAGTCCATGTTTCTAGAATTTTTATCTTCAGCGGAAGTACTTGGAATGAAGCCAGGTATATGTTATTGCTTTAAAGAATTTTTTTATTTTTATTTAGGTAATTTATTGTAAAGAATGTTAATTTGGCAATTGTTTTTATTTCACATTAATATAAAAATTCATATTTACACATTAGACTTCATTCAATAAAATTTTTGGATCAAACATCAAAAAACATCAAAATTATTTTTAAATATAACATTTAATAATTTATATGAAAATATTGAATATGTATAAATATACTGGAAATTTACAATTGTGAATGTTATTTATTAACTATTGTTCAATGGAAGGCAAAATAGAAAATAAAGTTATATTATTTGAAATTGTTATATAACAAATGTGCTGTTACAACATTTAGACCATCCCTTCAGTCTCTTTTAAAAAATATTTTGATGCGGTTACATCTTTTAGACCTCCACCCCTGCCAGCCTGCTCTTTCTATGGGAACACCTTTTGTGAAAATGTAACTGCTGTTGTGGAGAATGGACTTACAGTTGGCCTGGAGTTACAACTACTTGTTGAAGGTATACAGTGTAATAAAAGTCATATATCAATATCACTTGTATAGGTTTAGTCTGTTCAGTCTTGTTGGACAACTAACTGTGTGTACCCTGTTATCTGGCAAAGCAAATGTGAAACCTGCTTTTTTGTTCATGCCACCTTGGCAGAGGTGAAGAGTTGCACCAGACAAGATCTGGATTGTCGACCATTTTTAGACTGGGCACAGTTTGCCATTGCACTTTTGTCATTTTCATTTTGTTATACATTATTAAAATGCATAGAGGCAGTCATTACAGTATAAATTTAGCATATTATTATTATTATTATTATTATTATTATTATTATTATTATTATTATTATTATTATTATTATTATTAATAGAAAGTGACATTCACATGCAGTTTCCCCCTTCTCCCTCTGATAAATTTACACAAAGATATTTGTAACATCTGGTTAACTATATACTTGTTGTCTGCTCACCTTCAATTCAGCAATAATGTTTTTAATTTTTATTTCTTTTTCTCTCAGCCTCAGGTTTTGGTAAGGGTATGGATTCTCGTAAACACGACATCAGCAGAGTCGTTTGCTTTGGTGAGTCATGCCAAGACGTGATGACTGCCCTCGGATGTCCAAGCAAGATATTCTACAAGTCTGAAGATAAGGTAGAGAACCTTGAAAAATAGAAATATCTTAATAACAGTTGACTGCCAAGGCTTTTTTTCTTAGTTCAGTCTCATATGACAAGGCATGAAGGGCGCCACCATAATGAAAATTATTTCGGTAGTTATTTTCATATCATTATATCTGAGTCCTTCACAGAATCTCCAGCGTAAGACTTCTAGTTCTGGTGACCACTGCAATACAATGGAGTGGTATGTTGGACAGGAATGTCTTTGGCACCCTGCCTGAACCCTGTCGGATGTGAACTCATGTCCTTGGCAGTGAACGTGTTAAACATGATCCTTATGGTAAAGGCCTGCCAGGGTAAAGGAGGCAATTATCCTGTGACTTGCAGCGTCATAATGCTGAATTGCTTATGGGTGTGGTGTGTCTGCTGAGTATTATAGCTGTTGTAGAGAGACACTCAGTATTCGCACCTTTCCACGACGACAGGGGCTAAAATTAACCAGATTATTGGGGTAACCCCTACTCATCTAAAAGATGCACTGTGCCTTCAGTTTTGAGTCCTCGGTTGATTAAAAGACAGCGGAAAATTAAATGTGGACGTGTCTAAAGCTACAAGTTGTGCTGCCTGTAGTGTTTCTACACTACAAGCAAGTATTTAATAATGTAATAATCATCATTAATTTTATTATGACATATTCTTTTCTTGAAGATGAGAATACACTCCCGTTCATTCCAACGTGACCAGCAACGCAGCTCTGACTACTTCTTTAATTATTTTACTCTTGGTCTGGTGAGTTCAGATATTTGAAAATCATAAATACAAATGGCTTGAATAGTTTCATCTAGTCTCATGTCCCAAAATGTGTACATGTAGATTGTAAAATTCCTCCTCCTAGCTTATGTTTTAATCTCTTCAAAATGATGAATGTATATTATTGGATGATCTGTAATTGCTCTTTTGTTTGGTTTTTTTAAGGATATTCTCTTCGATGCTATTACCCATCGTGCCAAAAAGTTCATATTACACAGTAATTATCCTGGACACTACCATTTCAACATGTAAGCATATCTATACATTTTTAAGACTATAAGAAGGGGACTGTATTATTCCTTCCTACCCTGGCCCATCACTTTTTTTTTCATTCCTAAAACCACTTTATTTCCAAGACTTAAATGTATTCTAACATGTTTTTTTTTTCCCTAGTGGCAGTGCCAGTAGGGGTCTGAGGGGGAAATTTTGACCCCTTTAAGTAAGCATGGACTGCTTGGATGCCACTTAATATTATGAACTTGTAATCCAACCAAAATCATTGTGATTGCAATTCATATTGTGATCTAAAAGATAGCTAACTATCATAACAATAAATCACCCTCTGTTAACCCCCACTAGTGGTTTACACCGGGACACTGTCATAATTGTTGTTCCCTTCCTCCCATTTGACAATCAATTTGTGAATAGGTATTGGTACTGGTGCTTGTACGTGGGGATCACCCTTCAAATGACTTACCTTGGGATTGGCTAGACAGTTTTTTTTTAAGTTATATAAATTTTACATTAAATATTACCAAAGCAGTAAAATAGATGTTCTTACATGTTATATCTCCAAAGAAATTTACCAATATTTGAATGAAAATAACAATACCAGTTGTGATTTTCTTTACCTACTTTTTTTGAAAGACAAATAATTTTTTGTTTTTTTAAATATAAGATACTGCCGATGTGATTTCAAGATACCAATCCCAACGCCAAAAGGTTGCAATAAAGGCGAGAGCAACAGACTTGCAGAACCTGATGTACCATTTATTACACCATTCACTAAATGGAATGAAATCCAAGGTTATCTAATACCTCTCCAGAAACCGGTTGTCCTCAACAGAGCATCGACCATTAACACCACTAACCCGTTTGGATCGACATTCTGTTATGGTGTGGAAAATATGATAGTGGAGGTAAGTAATTGACTCAATGTCAGTTTTACTGGAACCACCCAGAATTGGATTGGATTGGATTTATTCGGTGTAAGCATCAAGGATAGCCCACGAAAGTCTAGAAGAAGGCTTATTTCCAGTGGGGTCCTTCTGGTGGTGATTGGGCAGTACACCGGGAGACAATCCCTTACTCTTTTCCGAAGAGTTTACTGCATTCTTTAACGTGCACATGGGCCATAAAGCACACGGGACCAACGGCTATTGTAACTTTCAGCCCTCTAGCTGAAACACTAGCAGCGATGGGAATTGAACCGGGGACCTAGAGATCTCCACGGTTCAGCGCACACACAGCGGCTACCACCAGATTAGCCGACTGAGCTAAGCTGCTCCTACATAAATAGCAGTAATTTATGAAAAACAAATGAAGTTTTAATCTGAAGCCCTATCCACAATATCACATTCTCTTTGACAAAAACCTGTTGTATGCACATTTCGTCGCTCACATCACAAACACAATCAAAGTAGTTTGTGTTAGTTTGTGTAATTAGAGTAGCGCGTCAAAACGAGCGCGTATTGGTTGTCAAGCGCTTATGTATTCTTTACCACACAAAATGTCGTTTAACAACAACAGCACATATTTTGACGTGCTTTCTTTGTTTCACGAACTAACACAATCTACTTCGATTGTGTCATTTTGTGACTAGAGTGTACCTGAATTGATTTCAAGGTTTGATGTAAAAAATATTATTACACTCCCAAAACAAAAAAAAAAAAAAAAAATAATGAAACACTCTTCAGTGCTACAGTATATATACATTGTGTGCAAAAATAATCTTGTGCAGTATAAATGTTGATAGATATCCTGATGCTAAACTTTTGCTTTCAGGTGATGTCCAACAACCACATTGCATCTGTTACCATTTACACCCCTCGACCAGCAAATTCGAACCCTGACCTGTCATGACCTCGCAATAAAATTCTTGCCATTGAAAAATCAACCTTTCAGAAGACAGCTACTGAGATAATGAAAAATATTTTTTCCCCAAAATCATCTTTTATGAAAGGCCAGTGAAAAAAAAATTTTAATGATAGTTATTAGTATCAGTGTTATTGTAAACACTAGCTATGATATAAAGAAAAGAAGCATATAGAAACATCCTCAATTCATATTAGTGTATGACTTTCTGAAGGCTGATCCATAAAATATCTACAGTGTTTACACTGCAATCGTTGACTTGCATAGCTGGCCCAGACGCAATTGGAAATGATTCTCAGTTTGAGTCACAGTCAACAGTAGCCTATAGCGATTTTATGGAAACCAGACTTTATTTAGTGAAGCTGTATAGCTCCTGTCTCTTATACACATCTAGATGTGTATAAGAGACAGACTTCGATTGTGTCAGTTCGTGATGTGAGCGACGATATATGGTGAAGACAGCCTCATTAGTCACTCGTCACAAAAATTGGTTTTTCAAGTTATTATTACAGGGTTGAAAAGTAAAATGAAAGCTATAAAATGGTAAAAGAATCATTTAAATCTGACATTTCATTATGAAGTTACAGGAGTTTAAACATACAGCTATTTAAAGAACAATATTTGAGAAATCAGCCTTCACAGTTTATGATTTTGGGCATTTCTTAGGCAGAGACCATCACCAAGTCATTAAAAATTGTTGTTTAACATTGAAAATTGAGAAAACAACAGCATAGCATGATGTGTATAGATCCCCGATATTCAACCCCTTGTCCGCGGGCAAACTCCGGCCCACCAAAGATTTTGATATGGTCCGCGCAACATCGCTAAAAAAAATCCATTAGGACAAGAATCAATCAAGTGATTCTTGTCCTAATGGCAATGGGGGAGATTGAGACTGATGGGGATAAATGATCAAGTGGGGATCACTGATATGATGTATATCTAACCATTAGCGGCACCAGCGGCGGATCAGTGGAGCAGGCTTGTGGGCATGTCATTCTGTTGAAAACACTGTTTGATGTGTCTTTACAGTCTGAATGTGCCAATTCCGGGAATCGAGAGGTGGTTATTTAAAAATTTGCTCACCTCATCCCCAACCATGGTTGAGCTGAGATAAATCAAGGGAAGGGGAATCTGACCCCTCGTCGGGAACTTTCTGGCGCTGACATTTTTTTTAACTAACTTAGACATGAGGGTATTTTTTTTTTTCCTAGTGTTTGAAGGGTAGGAGATTTGTTGTAGTGTGTGGGGCTGACATTAAAAAGAAATTGGAAGTAAAAATTTATGTCGGCCCACCAGTGGTCTCAATAGATTGAAACTGGGGGACATGTGAGGCGCACATGTCCCCCATGCCCCCTATTGGATCCACACATGTAATCCTGCAAAAAACTGTTTTCCTCATTTTGTGTTGCTTTGCTAAAGAACATGTCCATAGGCCTACATTTTGTGACTAGAGTGTACCTGAATTGATTTCAAGGTTTGATGTAAAAAATATTATTACACTCCCAAAAAAAAAAAAAAAAAAAAATAATGAAACACTCTTCAGTGCTACAGTATATATACATTGTGTGCGAAAATAATCTTGTGCAGTATAAATGTTGATAGATATCCTGATGCTAAACTTTTGCTTTCAGGTGATGTCCAACAACCACATTGCATCTGTTACCATTTACACCCCTCGACCAGCAAATTCGAACCCTGACCTGTCATGACCTCGCAATAAAATTCTTGCCATTGAAAAATCAACCTTTCAGAAGACAGCTACTGAGATAATGAAAAATATTTTTTCCCCAAAATCATCTTTTATGAAAGGCCAGTGAAAAAAAAATTTTAATGATAGTTATTAGTATCAGTGTTATTGTAAACACTAGCTATGATATAAAGAAAAGAAGCATATAGAAACATCCTCAATTCATATTAGTGTATGACTTTCTGAAGGCTGATCCATAAAATATCTACAGTGTTTACACTGCAATCGTTGACTTGCATAGCTGGCCCAGACGCAATTGGAAATGATTCTCAGTTTGAGTCACAGTCAACAGTAGCCTATAGCGATTTTATGGAAACCAGACTTTATTTAGTGAAGCTGTATAGCTCTGCCTTAAAATATTGTGGTACATTTTCTTGTCACACTATAAGCCTCATAAACAGGGTCCCAAGTTATGATCTGATGTAAGGAGCTTAAGAATTTTATTTTGCTGTGTATGGCGATACCTATCAGCACTGACTAATTGTGAGACAGTTGATTATGTTATTTTCCGGGAAATACTTGCTTGCAAGAGTGGGGGGGGGGGGTCCCTTACCAATTTCTGGGAGACTCCTACAACTTGGGACCCACCCATTCATAAACGTTCATGTAGTTTATAGAGCATCGGCCAGCCGTATAATTTTGGCAACATGCTGTTGTATTAGTACTTTCTTTCATCCTGCATAGGAATCGAAAGGAAATAAAAAATACAGATGTGTTAATTTCAGTGAGTGCTAAATATTTTTTAATTTTTTTTTTTTTGATAAAAATAAAAATAAAATTACAAGTGATTTAATGGGAATTGAACCCATAAAATTCAAATTGATACATATTACTAATTTATTTAAATTAAAATCACAGGGTTTTGTTAAAAAATGAATGAGTACAGTACTGTGTACTGTATATTAATTAAAAATAGAGATTTTTCAATTCCAACTGTGTTAGGAATTTAAATTATTTATTTTCTAGTCAAAATTCCTTATATCTTATTGCAATTTCTGATTTAATCAATATTTTCAATTATTTTAGTGTAGAACATTAGTTGTAATGAGAGGTTGGTTGTGATAATACTGTAATCCCTTTTTCATTTCATTATTATTCCTAAAATATTCTGAAATTTGTCAAATGCAATAATATACATGTTTAAGTATTCAAATTTATACTATATTAACTTTCACCCTATCATTCTTTGGTTCAAAGGTTGAATATAATCTTTGTCATACACGGTTATGAATATTCACACATTTAAGAAACTAATACAATTTGAGTTTGTGCAATTTTAGTGGTATCTGGAATGTCAAGTTATATAATTATCAAAGATGTAAATAATGATGTAATTTATATAATAATCAAATCATAACACAACAGAAAGCTGTGATCACACTGATGAAGAGCATTTTTCCAAATAAACATAAAACTCAGGAATTGTTTGATCAACATACTGAGTCTAACCACAGAGGTTCTATTTTATCTATGGTCTAACAGACAACTACTTAATGATGATGTATCAACTGCTAGACAATACATTAATCCTTTTTTTATTTTAAGGCTTTTTTTATTTAAGTCTTTATTTCATTATATTTCTTTATTTCCTTTTTCTTTATTTCATGATACATCCAACAGCCAAAGGCCAATAACAGGATGTCTTATATATTAATGGATATGTTAAAATACATTACTATTAAAGATAGAAGAAACATTTAAACATCTATACAGTATACAAGTAAGAAACTATTTAAATTCAACAGTAAGAACTTTACCATTAAATATATTGATAAACTGAAGTGGAATACATCAATTGTGGTGTCTAACTGAGAAGTATTATTGTAATGTAGAGCAAGCCTATGAATAAATCCATTTCTAGTACAGTTTACTCTATAAAATGGAATTAAAAGCAAGTCTTTATTTCGTGAGTTGGGCCTATTAACTTTCAGAGGAAATAAAGAACATAGGTAGCAATCAAATAGTGAATTTAAACATTTAAAAAGAAATATCAAACATATATCTCCTATTACTAATGAGAGCTAATGAGATATTATTATTATTATTATTATTAAAATTCATAAAATATTCAAATTTTGATTGCACTCTTTCAATATGCTTGGATTTTGATAAAGAAATGGAATTATACACAACGCTGCCATAATCAAAAATAGGTCTAACTAATGATATATATATAGGTGATATATGACATTGTTTGCTCGCAATATTCATTTCGAGAATGTACATCAGTTACTGCTGCCGTAAGTACGTATTTAATGTACTAATACTGTAAATAAAAAAGTTTGACTGTTAATAATAGTCTTCAATATCTAATATGTAACATTGTTGTAAAAAGGCTGTTGGTAAAAGCTTTGTTTAGACAGAGCTAACTCTTTCATGAGAAAAACTAGGCACTATGATGTTTTAGCAGTCTGTATGAAATAAAGAATTGGACCCTGTCTTGGGCAGATTGAAAAATAATACCAGCTGAAATGCGCTTCGTTATATGGGAGGACATACCATTTCTAGGAATAAAAGTGTGTTGTGATTGTATTTGTCTGTCAGAACACTGGCTAAGTTCTGTTTTACATTTAAGGAAACCAATTTACACTTTTAAAACAAGTTGCACCATGTTTTACGCACAATATATTGTATAAATTCTCAATTTAGTTGTAAAGTTTATAACTGTAGTGTTAAAGAGAATCAAATCAAACGAGTTAACCTGATTTTTTTTTTCTGTAAAACCGACTCACTCTGCTAGACAGTCGTTGGTCAATGAGATTCTATGGAGAAAGCAACATCACAACGATTGTGCACTGGATTGTTGTTGATGACAATCCATTCAGACTTCCACCGACAATCAGCAGTTTGAGTTGCATCGTGTAGAGCAGTTCACAGGTAGCGGCGTTGAATTTGTCGTGCGATCGTCGTACGAGGCAGTGAGTGACCGGCCTAATTAAGTTTATAGCATTAAAATAAAAAAATACCAAAAATTGTTATAAAGTAGTGTACTGGTAAATAAATTTAAATTATACAGTATATAGAAGATGAGAGTTACGAAAGAAAACCATTTTATGTAAATATCTGAAGCTTTTTTTAAACTTATATGCTGATGTTTTTTAAGGGAAGGATTGGAAGAATTTCAGTTATTTTTAATGTTAAGTATTTTTACAACTGAATATTATTGATGATTACATTGTTCGTATCCGGTAACTTGAAGCAAATAAAGTATTGATTGCATTATATTGATGTGTAAGGTTTTTATAATTTTTGTCTCTTTGATCCATTAATGTACAGTATCTAAGATACTGTTCTAAGAGTTATGATGATGAATATCACGGATATTGTGAGTATTTCAATATATGCAGTGAAATTTTTAAATTTAGTGGCAAAACGGGTAATATAACTCCAACACAAAAACTATTATACAGTAAGTAAAAACACTACGTGGCATTTAATAAAACAAGCAACCGTCTGTAATCGTATTACTGATCGCGGGCTGAATAATGAGCCCGATCGTGTAGCAGGAGCAACATGTTTCGGGGATGCTATTGCTATCATAAGTGCAAACGTACCACATTTTGCCAAGGTTTATTTGCATTAAAATTGGCATAAATAGGGACTGGTGAATCGAAACCTTCAACGCAAACACCACGTATCACTGCATGACTGTTATGGTAATTAGCACTTCAATCAGAAGCGAGCGAGCGTATGTTTGATTAGAAGTCTGCGGTTTAGCGATGGATAGTTGCAAGTAATATGCAGAGCTTCCTTAACTATTATCTTTCTCATTTGGCACACACTGATCTGGACTTATTTATATTATATTATATTTCTATTTTTGATTACTATGGTTAGGAAATCATTAGTAGTCTTTTAATAGACGACTGACCTTGAAGTATGCGTATGTATTCCTTTGGTACGTGTGTGGTGTGTGTACTTCTTGGCGCATAGCTCAGAAACTACTGAACCGACTTACTTCTAATTTTCACACATTACAATTGATATCTCGGTCCTCGAATTTGGTGCTGTGTTTCTTTTCTTTAATTTGGGTATTAAAAAAAAGAAAAAAACAAAAACAAAAAACAAAAAACCAAACTCCATCCACCACTAATATTATATCATTTATTTCGTCTTTAACGCACATTAAAATGACAGACATGATTTTAAAAAGATGAGATCAACAATCCAACAATGGAATTGACGGTGCAACCATAGAGAAAATAGTGGTACAACCGGGACACAAATAGGGTACATATTCTTAAAAGGCCACATGGCCCCGGTTCCAGCGTTACGCAACTGTAAGAAGCATTGGTGTGTATTTTACTAAATTTCCTGATTATGTTTGCGTTGAGAGGGTGTGGAAGATTAAAGTTTAAAAAGCCAAGCTCAGAGATGCCAAGTTTGACAAGCTGGGAGTAAACAATCAAACAATCGAGGAAGCGAAGCAACCGAGAGGGGTGGGGGTGGGTGTGGGAGGAGTGGATTCCCTACCACAATAGAAACATTTTTTTTCATTTTTGGGTTTTAAATTAAACTGTGAAATTTGGTGCATACATATAATACACTTTCACTTGCAGAATTCTTATATAGAATAATACCATAGAGAAAGAAAATAGATTATTTATTTTCTTTCTCTATGGTAATACAAACTCCAAGAAATGGGATACATGACATTGTTTTTTTGATTCAATATTTTGATATTTATTATTTCATCTTCAGGAATAAATGAAATTTCTAAGCAATGGGAAAGAGTTAACCTTACTCCTGTGAAGTTGATGAGTGGGCTTTTTTATAAGCCCAGGTGGCCTTTTTTTTTTGCAGATTTTACTACATCTTTAGGCTCCTCATGTGCCAATTTGATGGTCAGGATACTTGATAAGGTTCCCCTTGGATCTAAATTTGGGCGAAAGCAGTTTTGTTTTTTTCCGAACCATTGAAAAGATTCGCTCCTCTTGGGCATTAAAATCAGTGGCGTATCTAGAAGTCTTGAAAGGTGGGGGGGGGGGGGCGGTTTGGGGGGGCGAGGTGAGTTAGAATGAGGTATTACAAATACAAAGCTTGCCCCTTTGCATAATTCCCGAATATCGATTTTTTAATGAGATAGATCCCTGTTTTTTTTTTTAAATTTTTTATTTATTTAATTGTTTATTTTTTTGGCCCCCATCGACTACCGGCGTGAGAAAATGATTGTTGAGCGGAAGAGCGTGGAAAGAGGCACGGATTCTCACTTGGTAGGTCTGCAAGCTTCAGTGAACAAGATGAATGGGTAATTACCTGATTGAGCTTACGGTGTTTACATAATGATGCTCATTGAGATTCATTCTGAATACGAAGCTATAGACTTCGAATATTTTATTCTAATTTGCTCATCATATTGAACGTCTATTGTGTGGATTATCAAATTATAGTGCTTCCTGAAAACACTAACAAAGTTTCTTCCACCCTTTATACATTTCTTCAACATTATATGTGACTAAAGAATGACTGTTCTACGTTGGACAACATTCCTTCTACTAGTGAAAGTTTCCAGCCAGTCAGCATGTGGAGACACTCATTCGAAGGGCGATTGTAATTGTCTGCAGCATTCGGATGGTACTTGGGCAGTTGATTGTACGGGACGTGGACTTAGTGCTTTACCCGGTGGTATTCCAGTGAACACTACGAGACTGTAAGTCTTTCGATGTTTAACAAACTTTTAAGAAAACACCAAGATGTAATCATGAAATAATTATACTATATTTAGTATAGCGGTGATCACACCCAGATCTATAATTAACTTCAGATACCAACCATTTGACAAAATGCCAAAAGAATAGTAGTCTTAGTTAAGCTAAATATGACATAGCAGATTAAAAAAAATTTACCAGACTTGTTTTAATTATGAGTAGACCCGAGATTTTGCTGGCGCAAAGATTTTAGGCTTTAAATCCCCAATATTTGGTTGATATAGGATGCGGTGAAATTACAGAGAAAATACCTATCGAGTGCCACACTATTAAACTTTTTACCTCTGTTTTTATAACGATTATGCCTGTAACTTCATGTTTGGTTTGGAAATACTCCTACAGGATTAGTCCTACCAACCATTGAGTTGTTGTATGGACTCCAGCAGGTAACATTGTTTAGTTAGAAAAACAAATGTCTAGTTTTATTTTGTGGAAATAATGCCCAATTAAAGAATACGCCACACACAGTTACACTTGCACAAAGAAAGGAAGACATGACAAGTTTTATTAGGCTATTAGTCTCCGACAACATTAAACATCCGCCGACTCGCAAAATATTTTGGCGACTCTAACTTGGGTCGCGATCGATAGTTTGAAACCATAGGTATATGGTTTTTAAACCTGTTGTGTACTTCTGTTGTTTGAAATTTTCATGTTACTTTTATGTCTTGTACTTGTGTTTTTTTTTATGTTTTAATATTACAGTAGCCTACATTTTTTTTCTCTTTCGTGTGAGTTAACCATGTGTTTTTCATTTCAGTATTGTTTTTTATATTTTTCAATTTACAAGGATACAATATTTGCACAATCTGTGGACTTGCGTTCATCATTTTCATTATACAACTAATCAGATATTTGCAAATTTGCACAAGCCAATAACCAAGAGTAACAACATGAATTGACATGTGACTATCATTGTTGCGCTTTTTAATTTATTTTTTTTTTAGAGCACGATATCACTAAGTTTCTCCTTTCGTATATAAAAGGGGTTCCGTCGTTATATAGATAAGACATGATCAATTCATTTTTTAAACATTTATTTAAATCTTATTAAAAAAAAAAAACAATGGGTTTTTTTTTTAAACAATAGTAGGCCTACAATATGCATGAGTTAAAGTTCATTTCTGTGTATTTCATTTCTGAACAACGTTATTATGGCATCTATGTTATTTTTTGTTTGTAGCAGGTATACAATCTTAGCCTTATAAAATTAGTAGGCCTACATTTTTTTTTTTGTAAATATCATATAATTCAGCCTTGGTTGTGATTTTGATTTGAATAAAGGAAAATGAAACTATAGAATTATGGGTTACAGAAATCCTGTAAATACGGCCTCAAAATACTACTTTGTCGGAGCTTCTCGCCTCTGGACCCAACCGGGGCCCCTAAACAGCCTCGGCCTGCATATTAGCCTGTAAACAACCTAATAGATGAAAATATACTTTACCTCTTACATGCTTTTAAAACCGTCAGTTATAACAAATTAATTAATTGAAATTAAGGTAGTTGTGCCAGTACTGTTGCAGAGGCAGATTCCCCTCAGAGTGACTATCAAAGGAGAACGCAACACATTCGTCAGGGAAAAATAATCATAAATATAACTTTTACAGAATATGAGCGGTATGTACTTGCTCCGAAATTAAATCGGAGTGTCTGCACCCGCCGTGAAAACTCCGATTTTGGAAGTTTTTACGTACTACACCAGAAAAATCCAAAATCGTTTTCACACTTTTAATCAAACCTCCGATTTGGAAGTTTCTGCGTACATTAATTAAACCTCTCTCTATATACAGACCAAAACTAGCATTGCAAAACCTTTAATCAATTTTGCGTACTATAAGTCTCTGCAACAAGCTTCCTCTATACTGAGAGAGCAAATAAACCCTCCGATTTCGGAGGTTTTGCGTACTTTTGGGTAAGGGTGGGGAATTGTAGACAGTATCCAATTGGACATCACCCACAATAAATTGATTCTACTGACCAGTCGTTGGCAGAGAAACCTAAATTGCGCCATCTATTGCCTTCCTTGTTCTTCCCGCGATGTTATGAATGTAGCTTTTCCATTGAGTGAACACATTTTATTCATTAATTTTGAAAAAAATATACAAAGCCATGATTTTTTGTTAAAAAATGCAAAATTTGAATTTCTAAAGAACAGTATTTTGTAGGGAACAACTATCATTATGGTAATTATTGTTGTATTTTTTACATTACCATTGTGTAAAGGGACTGTGCAATGGTTGCTTCGGTGAACTGGTAGGCTCGGTCGTGTGGGTAGTTTTTATGAAAGCTAAACTGTGCTGCCATTGTGATTTTGTTCCGGATCTAGTTTTGTATAGGGTAAAAACAAAAATGTGTTGCTGTGCTCGGTTAAAACACCCTGCTTGCATTTGAACAGGGTTTGAAAAAAAATGGCTAACAAAGACATCTTCCTTTCAGGATGTTTCAAAGTATAGATTCCAGGCAAAAAAAAAAAAAAAAAAAAAAAAAAATAATAATAATAAATGAAAAGCAACTCTATACGAACAGTGGTTGCCAAGAAATAGGAACCCTATTTTTTCACACTTAAATTGCATATGCCAATAAGGTCAGCAAAATGACATTTTTCTTAAAAAGAAATGTACATACTTTCGCCACTAATAGTAATAATAATAATAATAATAATAATAATAATTATAATAATTATAATAATAATAATAATAATAATAATAATAATAATAATAATAATAATAATAATAATAATAGGTTTTTATATAGCGCTCTATACAACTAAGTGTCAGAGCGCTTTTCCACTTTGTTTTATTGCCTTTACACACAATACAAAATACAGTCAGAAAAAAAAATTGTGAAGAAGGCGACCGAAATAAGTTAAAGAACTTTAAGTCATGGCCGCCAAAAAAGCAGAAGAAGAAGAAGAAGAAGAAGAAGAAGAACAAAGTACTTTTAAAGTTAAAAAACCGGGTGAACACTAATAAAATTGGGGAAAAACATTAATAACATAATGTCAATCTAAACAAGCAGAATCATGTATAAACTCAAATGAAAGAGGTAAAATGGTAATCCAGACTTTATAATATAGCTGACTACCGTACATTTTTTCAGTACTGCTCACTACTGTTTGGATTATACCGAGACCAGAAGGCTTTTATAATTGCGTTTGAAACTAAAGACAGAGGGTTTCTATTTAAAATCATGAGGTAGAGTTTCTAAAGTTTAGGGCAGTTATAGAATATAAAAGAACGCCAAAGTTTAGAAAAGAACAAACCAGATGAGACTATTCAAATATTTACGAAAGTTTAAAGCATGCTGTTATTTTTTACTTGAAATCAGTGACGTATATTTGTACTGAGTACAAAAAATTGGAGAGTGAAAAGCACTAAAGATAAGGAGGGTAAAGAATGTATTTTGGTGAAGAGTGACTGAAAACACAATATATTCATTGTTGCACCTTCATAACTCCCGTCTCCTTGTTTTTTTTTTGTTTTTTTTTTGTTTTTTTTTTAATTCACAAGTTATGGTGTTTCTTTATATCATGTAATTTGCATTGTCAAGTCAGTCTGAGTGAAAACCTACAATTCTCTGTTTTTATTAATCTAATTTCCGTTAATGAAGTTAATGATCTTATTACCAATTTAAATGGAAACAAAAATTATAGTTATCGTGGATTTTCATATACTATTATTAAAACATTTCGAATTCTATTTCAGATCCGCTCTGTCATATTTTTAATTCTTAGTTTATTACTGCCATTTTTCCAAATTCCTTTATGATTGCCAAAGTAGTCCCTATTTATAAAGGATGAACCTCATTATTTTGAAAACGAAATGAAAAGTTTGGAAGAATTTGAAATATCATTAACGTAACTTAAAAATAACAGAAGACCTAGAATGGAGCCTTGGGAGACACTTCGTTTAATGCGAGAAATATTGAAGTTTGTTGAGTTAATATAGGCCTAGGTAAATTGATATCTATCTGTAAGGTACGTAATTAATAAATTGAAGAGCAAGGCCTCTGATACCATAGTTTTCGAGCTTTTTAAAAATAAGTATATTGTGATAAATGGTATCAAGACCTTGCTAAGATCAAGAAAAAATCCAGCAGTATATTCCTTATTATTGATCGCATTTGTTATTTTGTTGTAAATATCTAATAAAGCTAGGTCAGATAAAAATCCCTTTCTAAATCCCTACTGATTTGGGTAAAGAATGTTGTGTTTGTGTAATTATTATGTAATCTTGACTGAATCAGTCGTTCAAGAATTTTAGAAAAAAAGGTAACAAAGATATGAGTCTGCAATTTTTTTTTAAATAATGAGGTTCATCCTTTATATATATAGGGACTACTTTGGCAATCATAAAGGAATTTGGAAAAATGGCAGTAATAAACTAAGAATTAAAAATATGACAGAGCGGATCTGAAATAGAATTCGAAATGTTTTAATAATAGTATATGAAAATCGACGATAACCATAATTTTTGTTCTCATTTAAATTGGTAATAAGATCATTAACTTCATTAACGGAAATTAGATTAATAAAAACAGAGAATTGTAGGTTTTCACTCAGACTGATTTGACAATGCAAATAACATGATATAAAGAAACACCATAACTTGTGAAGGAGACGGGAGTTATGAAGGTGCAACAATGAATATATTGTGTTTTCAGTCACTCTTCACCAAAATACATTCTTTACCCTCCTTATCTTTAGTGCTTTTCACTCTACAATTTTTGTACTCAGTACAAATATACGTCACTGATTTCAAGTAAAAAATAACAGCATGCTTTAAACTTTCGTAAATATTTGAATAGTCTCATCTGGTTTGTGTATTGTGAAGGGCCGCCTTCGGCGGCCCTTCACAAATTATGAGTATTTCAACAGCAACATTTTTTCATAAACTTCGCCCCCTTCCCTTTGTCAAAATTCCTGTGTCTGCCTCAGATATATGGCATTTATTCATTTTCATTATTCTTATTGTTTTTGTAATACAACTGGCATTGACAGTAGATAATGTACAACTGTAGGCCGGAAGTAAACAAATAATGTCACCATAATTCATACTTTGATAAGGCGGGGTAGGACGGAAGCACTTTAATGACGTTATCATAATTAAGGCAGACGTTATAGGACTGAAGTAAATAAATGACTATACCATAATTCATAATTTATAATTCAAATTAGGCTTATATTTACATCACAAGGGATGGTAGCTCACAAAGGAAATAAAATAATTTAGAGGATATTGAAACAAACGGATGTGACGTGTAAGTATGTGTGCATGTGTCAGATATTAAAAATAAAACTGAAAACAATGGGGGATTCGGAAGTTTAAACAGGATGTCAGTGTATAAAAGAGATTAGCAGAGCAGCTTAGCTTAGTCGGCTAATCTGGTGGTAGTCACTGTGTGTGCGCTGAACCGTGGAGATCTCTAGGTTCCAAGTTCAATTCTTATTGCTCCCTCTACTTGTGTTTCAGCTGGAGGGCTAACACAGGTTACAATAGCGCACCGTCCTTCGGATGAGACGTTTAAGCCGTTGGTCCCGTGTATTTTTGGTACACTCTAAAAGAGTAGGGGATTGTCTCCCGGTGTACTGCACAATCACCACCAGAAGAACCCCAATGGAAATAAGTCTTCTTCTAGAATTTCGGGGCTATCCTAGGTGTTTACACCGAATAAATCCAATCCAATCCAATAAATTATTTAAAAATTAAAATCAGGAAGTTTCTTTGTTTGTATGGCAAGATGATGTATTATAATGGATTATTTTTACTGGTTCATGTAAAGAACGATTTACATTGGTTCAAAGATATCAGATAGATTGTAAAGCTGTTGGTAAGATAATAAACAAATTACAATTTGATGTAACGAGCTGTGAGCAATCCCCCAAATAGCCAGACGAAGTCAAATTGATAACATCGACGAAAGCTCAGAGTAAATTTACATCAAATTGTTATTGGTTTATTGTCGATTAAACATTTCTACAATATTTTAAACTTTGTTTGCAAATCACTTGACATGAAGGAACACATTTCTTAACTTGTGAAGCAAAACAAACCAAATTGAAACGGAAGTCGTGGCACTATTTTCCGATTGACTTCTTGTTTCGTCAATTCACTGTTCATTTATTAAGGTGTAACAAATAATAAATTATATTTGTATACACTTACTATAATCGTTTGCATTGGCGGATCTGAAAGTGGTCCTATACCTACACTTGTTCAAGATCTATGAGCTGATTTTTTTTTTCGTAACAATGGGAAAATTAGATGATATACATGTAATGCTTTAAGGGGATGTTGGGAAGCATGTAACTTTTAGAAATTTCAGTTTGAGTGTAAACTGTTTTGAAATCTGAAAGTACAGCATAAATATACAGTAGGCATAGATCTAACATAAAAAGTAACAGTAGAGCTTTCATTTCTTGAGAAGAGTTTACTGTGGTTTTTAAAGAAATGTTGTATGGTTCCTCATTTAGTTTCAAAGCATTATACATTTTCAAAATGATAATATTATGTATAGACTTATATGTACCTTGTTATCATAAAGCAATATCACTTGGCATTTTGGTATCTAGAATTTATTTAGTGAGTTGAACATGGTAAGATGGGCCGACATAATTCTGACCCCCCCCCACCCGCAGCTGAACCTCACATAACCTCCATTATCTTCCTATTCACTCACTCCTGAAGATTGCACTGCATGATGCATGAAACAGCTGCCAATAAAGCCAATAGTTCTCTGCATTTCATTAACGCTAAAGAAGTCCTGAGGACAGGACGAAATAATCGTTTTTCAATAAAATAATATACATTGTGACAGAAATTTTCAGGGGCGGATCCAACGGGAGTCCATGGTCCCCTACTCACACCCACCCCTTCAATGCCACCGAAAAATAAAAAAGAGGGAGGAATTGAGAAGAGTTAAAAAGGAAAAAAGAAGAGTACCCATGAGTTCAGTGGCGCGTGAAAATTTTAGAGCTCTATTATGTTACCACTTCCTAGAAAAATTATATATTTTCTCGATTATAAATCAGCATGTAAAAATTAGGCCAAATGACGGAGACCTAAGACTGATGTTTTTGAGCCCTTATTACGGACTGAAGAGAATACATGCTCTGTGGCGTAACGCCTATGCGCTCTAGAACGGTGCCCCTAGTACCTCTTGGTCCAGTAAAGTAAAATAACATTTATTTATCTATCAATCATAATAAATTCAACACTTTTAAATTATATATAATAGTATAAATGAACGAAAGTCTTCAAGGTACTTTCGGCAAAACTGGGTTTCGGCAAACTGGGTTTCTGCAAACTGAGATTTTTATTGTTTTTGAATCGGCAAACTATGTTTCGGCAAACTGGGTTTCTGCAAACTGAGATTTTCATTGTTTTTGAATCGGCAAACTATGTTTCGGCAAACTGGGTTTTGGCAAACTGGACTCGTCAATCTGGCATTCGGCAAACAGGGTTTCGACAATTTGGCCTAGATCTACAATAACTCATGCCTTTCACAAAATGTTAAAGACTGCTTTGTCGAGGGTTTCATCTGACGTCCACACTCTGTATCAAATTACACACTATATCAAACATGTTAAATTATTCTGTGATATTTTTATTAAAGAGTGATCAAACATTGGCCAGACATTGAATCCATAAGGTAACGTTCAACTGATGGTAGACTGCAGGGAAGATTTTCTTTTGTTGTTTGGCATCTCTATTGAGGAAAATAAAGTATTTGTTTTAACCATATTAAATCGAGAGTGACACTTTCAGCGTATCCTAGGACCACAAGTTCCGCTGACACTGTATAAATTGGCCCTCTTCAATTAATGAAATAACGTGATGCTTTTATCAGCTGCCACAGGAATTGAACCTAGGACCCTGGGATTAGAAGACAAGGCAGTCGGGCGTAACGACGAGTCATGGGGCCCGAGAGCGACAAAATGCCAGGGGCCCCTAGCATACCAGAAAAGTATTTTCGCTCACGGAGTGGCCAGGGGTGGGTATTCTCCCTATTTAAAGGCTTAACGAAACTGAATAGCCTACCTCCACCGCCAAGGAGGTTATGCATTCACTGCTGTCTGACTGTCTTTCTGTTAACAAGATTGCACAAAAACTAATGAATGGATCATCATAAAATTTAGTGAAATGGTAGCCTACATAATAATCGAACGAAGGCACCATTTAATTTTCGCTGTGGCTGGATGTCCGGCACCGGATCCGTTATTATCAGGACTTGGGTATCACACCATAATCCTACCAAGGGATTTTCAGGAACAATCTTCCCTTTCGAGCAATCGTTACCTATATTTACCACCAGTATAAAAATGACTTATACACCATGCCTATGTGTAATCCAAGGGATTTTTAGGAACAATCTGTCGTTTTCGAACGATATTGTTTCCCAATTCCTCTCCTTATTGTTTCCCAACTCCTCTAATATTATCCCTACCCCTCCCCCATCTCCTTCCCCGCCATCCGCACTTTTTATCCCACAGCCGTGGCCAATAGATTGAAGAATTTGTGCTGTTTTGAAAAACATCGCTAATTTCGCGGCCGCACACACAGTGAAGTAAATAGTGAAATCTGCAGTCCAACGCGATCGTATCTTATCTTATTGTTGGCTGGAATTGTGGGCTGGCTTGTTGTTGGCTGGCAGATTGTTGGCTAGCTTGATGTAGCTACTCATATCGCCGTCACACTTCCCGGATCTGATAATTGATTATTCATGATATTTAAATTTAATGTTCCTCGTGGCTGCTAGACTTAGTCTCTACCAAATATAACATTGCATTTATTCTGCAATGTGAAAGAAGGAGTGCAAATCATCCATTGGGTTTTTATTAATTTGTTTTCATTAATATGAATGTAAATATTAATAGAATCTAATATTTGGCAATCTGATGTTTAGTTTTTCTCTGTGGAGCCACCTTGGCTGTTATTGTTATATGTTAAGACAGAATAAAAGATATGATATGATAACAGAAAGGATTTTTTTTTCTCAGTGTGTGGGCTATTTGGGTTGGGGTTTGCAGCATAAAGAGCGACCCCCCCCCCCCCCCCTCGCGCCACAAAAAAAATTAAATAAATTAAAAAAAAATAAAAAAAGACAAAAACCAAAACCCTGGCTACGGGCATGAACCCTCACCAATTTTACCTTACTAGCTACGTCTATTCATTCTCAATTCACACATTATTGTTGTTTCTTTTTTTGTTAAGTGATGCTGCGAAGAACAATATATCGGAGATATCGAACGATACGTTGCTTCGACTACAGTACTTATTTTCAATGTAAGTGGACACCTTTTCGTGTATATAATAATAATAATAATAATAATAATAATAATAATAATAATAATAATAATAATAATAATAATAATAATAATAATAAATTGGAGAATTTGTATAGCACCTGTTAAAAAAAAAAATAATTTTTTGTCACTATATGATACTTGGACAGCGTATAATGATATTGTCATTCCAATGAGACATCTTTTACTAGCTATGATGCAGCCTGGTATCCACTCTTTTCTGCTCCATACAGGGGACAGCCACACTTCCGGATGTAGCTAATGTTCTCATTAGCTAAGTTTATTGTATTTTAAATTAGAAACAATTGTAAACATTATATTCCCTAAACCCACTTCGTTTGTACGCGTTCAAACCCATCAAAGCAATATTACCGTCTTAAGAATTTGCATGCCTACTTAGTATAAGTAGGCCTAATATATACAACATTTTGTTCTTTTAAAAGTTGGATTTATTATTTTGTATACATTTATTATACAACTACTTTTAAATTGAAAATTATTCATAATTAATTTATATTACATATAACATATTTATAAAGGATTACCAAATTTATACATCGAACTTAATACTGTTGTTAATGATTAGTAGGCCTACTGACAATTATTATCTAGGTAAGTTTAATAATTTTAATACTAAGATAAGTATGTAAACGTAAAACCGAGCAAAATTGTTGTAATAATTGTTTACATCTTAATTATAACATCGATCAAATTATATTTTAGAATTTGAGTTGTATACATAAAAAGTAAAAATGTTCGTCTGCTTGATGAAGATTCTATTAATTATAACAATTAAAATATAATAGAGGCATACATGATTAACATTTTTTATATTTCTTTTAAGCCCTTTACTTGGTTTGCACGTAATCAATTTAATGATACTCCTAGTATCATCTAGCAGTAAAATCTCTAAATAAAGACAACAAAATTGTTTCAATTTATGTGATGAAATTAGGTAAAATTCATTGTATGTAATTGATATTTTAAGTTTTACATATTAGCACAGACAGTGGCTTAATATATCTTTTACCCGACGACTTTTTTCGCAATAAATTTTCAGTATTACAATGCTGTAATGATGTGTTTTAAAACTGCATATTTCATTGCATTTTTCATACCAATCACCATTTAAATGCTTGTTATATTGACCTAATGTAATTTTGTTTAATTCTACTCTAACTTTCAGAGTACTGGACTTTAACAATCTGACTTCCTTGCCAAAGTTTCCAAAACGAATCGAGTTCATGTAAGTATTAATATTTCTATAAAAAAAAACATATGTACTTAATAAACGTGTGGGATTTGAAACCTACCATCATCGATCACGCAAAGTGAAAATCAATCCATATTTCAGATTAATTGGAAAAAAAAAATAACCGTCGTTTTTCACTGGATGTTTTGTTCACATTTACGTACTTTTCGCACTCCCTACACATGCGCCAGTTGTTTTGCAGTGTCAGACTTTTTACACACTACAGACGTTAACGGTCCTAATTATATAAGCGTCTGGACTTCAGTTAATTCCCTGTCATGCTTGTAGATTCGTGTGGTGACTTGTAGATTCGTGTGGAGTGACACATACGCCACAATAATTGAATCACTTTTCAATGTTCAGCGGTGTAATTAGAGTTCTGTTCGATACCTTTACGCGCAGGGAATATTCTGTTAAAAAATCATAACAAATTGTAATGGAATTTAAAACAAATTGTAATACAGTAATTCCAAATACGCTTCGGATTGGTTTGGTATGCAATTTTAAACATAGGCCTACAACAAAAAGATATTTTAATATATATATATATATATATATAATTATATATATTATATATTATATTTTATTTATATATTTATATATTTTTTATTTTTAACATTTATTGTGAACTTAAAAGTTTACACTAAATTTTTATTCAATCAATTTCCTTTATCATAAATATTTTGTTTACAATTCCTAATTCAAATATTGATTGAAAAGGCATCAAGTACAAGCAAGCTTTAAGTTTTGATGCCTTTCAAAGAAAGATCAATAATAACTACAAAATAAAAATAAAAAGATAATAATAATAGAAGACGATTTATTTATAAATCATGATTCTTAAAAACACAACATGCTATTTGATTCGAATGGAAATCTTGTTAATAATGATTAAAATATACTTTAGCCTCTGAACGCCAGAGAGTTAGCCCTAAGTCATTCATACATAATTAAAAACACGGTTCGGGTCACTGTATTTGGTATGAATTTTAAAAAGGTTAGCGTTTAGAGCCTTCAAATTAGCGTTTAAAAATGCATTGCATAAACGTTTTATCAGCATCACACTTTGTGACAAAGTATCGGCGATAAGAATAGGTACAGTGTCGTTTGTCATTGCAATTGATAAGGATTGACGACGACAGGTTGGCGTGTACTTAGATAGCTAACCTTACTACTACTATTAATGCCACTTTAAATAGAAGTTCCGCAGTTTAATATAATAATCATTATTCCTAATCTTTTACGTTTTTACAGGTCTCCCTCCAATTCGTATAAAGATAAAATACATTTGTTAATTTGGGACAACAAAAAGGTGGTCTTCCATAGAGGGGTATTTAATTGGGGGGGGGGGACCTGTATTTTAAAATCTAATAAGAAGAAGAAAAGTACAAAGATGTAATGGAGAAATACAGAAATAAAATCTAATATTTTGAGATTTAGTTTAGGTAAAATCCTATTATTGATTGGTTAATCAGTTTCAATGAACTTATATTAACATTCATAATTTCAATACCCTCCATTCCTTCCTTTTCTTGTATAATTTTGCAGCCATATCTTAGGTATATATTATCTATATTTATTGAGAAATAATTATTATCATAAAGCCTGCTAACGCCTTGTGTAATACTTTTCTTTGCAGATCTGCTAATTACAACAATATACAATCAATTGAGGGAGCTTTTGATGACCTAACTGCTCTTTTTCAAGTGTATGCTGTTTTCTGAATACATAAGTTTCTTTTTATACCGTAGAAAAATTACTCCAACTTTTCTAAAAAAAAAAGGTCGACATACCAAAATCTCTAATAAATATGGTTGGCCTTGTATTGTAGGCATACACTACTGCACTTATTTTAGTACTGGCCAGGTATAAGGTAATATTCAGATACCCTTCGAAATAAACAAGCCTTTACATATAATATTAATGATGAAAAGATACGAAAATACTATTATCAGGAGAGTGCTTAATGGTACACAGGGAACAAAATAGTGCGTGTCATATTCAGATACCCCTTGAATATAATAAATAGGCCTTTACATGTAATTATTAAAAGATAATAAGATACGAAAATACCATTACCAGGGGAGTGATCAATGGTAAACCGCGGAACAAAATAATGCATGCCATGAAAGTATTTAGTAATGCAATGCATAATTCACTAGAGCAGTCACTCCATGGAGTGCATACCTCCGCTCTATTCCAGAAATCGGTACCAAAGAGCAAACCGTGTATGTGCAAAACTGCAGCATACACTTAAGAAAATAATGGAATTGCCTTCGTATTCAGGCACATTGTTTTTTGAGCACTGCCTAAATACGTGGGGTAGTTCCATTATTTGCTTTTATGCTCGAGGGTAAAAATCAAATTTCTGAGACCCTGACACTTTTCTTTTTTTAACCTTCCTTGCAAAAATTGAATGGTGTCTTTCTTCGATTATTATGTTGTATAACACACATAAATAGAGGCCTGTCAATTGATAGATTTCGTATCACATGAAGTAATTTTGCAAACAGACGGCCAGAAAGACGACAGCAGACAGACCGACCGACACACAGACAGACCGACAGATAGAATAAATAAACTAAAAACGTTATTATTAATACTGGTGTCTTTAAAGAATGGTGAATCAAAATAGAATTAAAAAGATTATATAGGCCAATTATAATTAACAATCGTAATCACTGAGGCATTTCCCCTTCCGGGAGGTGCCGGCAATTGTGGGCGACCCCAAATTTAAAAATTAAAATGTTGAATCTGAGTTTCCATGTATTCTGTGTGTGCATGTTTTGTATGTTCGGTATTCAAATTGACAAGCCACCGCTTCTTTTGATGCCTATGTAAACAATTCGTAATATGTAATTTGTTGTGAAATTTTTCTGAATAAATGTCATTGTATATCGTTGTTAAACTTCAATTTTTACTTTATACTTGTTAAACCTATTTCATATGATAATATCAATAAAATCTAACCAAATTCATTGTTATATATATATACTGTATAATTATTGATTGGTTAATCAGTTTCAATGAACTTATATTAACATTCATAATTTCAATACCCTCCATTCCTTCCTTTTCTTGTATAATTTTGCAGCCATATTTTAGGTATATATTATCTATATTTATTGAGAAATAATTATTACCATAAAGCCTGCTAACGCCTTGTGTAATAATTTTCTTTGCAGATCTGCTAATTACAACAATATTCAATCAATTGATGGAGCTTTTGATGACCTAACTGCTCTTTTTCGAGTGTATGCTGTTTTCTGAATACATAAGTTTCTTTTTATACCGTAGAAAAATTACTCCAACTTTTCTTTAAAAAAAAAAGGTCGACATACCAAAATCTCTAATAAATATGGTTGGCCTTGTATTGTAGGCATACACTACTGCACTTGTTTTAGTACTGGCCAGGTATAAGGTAATATTCAGATACCCTTGGAAATAAACAGGCCTTTGCATATAATTATTAATGATGAAAAGATACGAAAATACTATTATCAGGAGAGTGCTCAATGGTACACAGGGAACAAAATAGTGCGTGTCATATTCAGATACCCCTTGAATATAATAAATAGGCCTTTACATGTAATTATTATAAGATAAAAAGATACGAAAATACCATTACTAGGGGAGTGATCAATGGTAAACCGCGGAACAAAATAATGCATGCCATGAAAGTATTTAGTAATGAAATGCAATGCATAATTCACTAGAGCAATCACTCCATGGAGTGCATGCCTTCGCTCTATTCCTGAAATCGATACCAAAGAGCAAACCGTGTATGTGCAAAACTGCAGCATACACTTAAGAAAATAATGGAATTCAGGCACATTGTTTTTTGAGCACTGCCTAAATACGTGGGGTAATTCCATTATTTGCTTTTATGCTTGTGTGTAAAAATCAAATTTCGGAGACCCTGACACTTTTCTTTTTTTACCCTTCCTTGCAAAAATTGAATGGTGTCTTTCTTCGATTATTATGTTGTATAACACACATAAATAGATGCCTGTCAATTGATTGGTTGATTTCGTATCACATGAAGTAATTTCGCAAACAGACGGCCAGAAAGACGACAGCAGACAGACCGACCGACACACAGACAGACCGACAGACTGCAGTAAATAAACTAAAAACGTTGTTATTAATACTGGTGTCTTTAAAGAATGGTGAATTAAAATAGAATTAAAAAGATTATATAGGCCAATAATTAACAATCGTAATTAATGTCGTTTTTTTCTTGCATTTTCCGGCACAACCCAGTGCGTATCTCTGGGCTTAAAAGCTACCGTATTTAATGTTATGTAATGATTTTTAATTTTTGTTTTTGTTTGTTAATTTATTTTTTATGTTGCTCTAATTTGTGTTCTAATTCACAATTAATAAACTATATACCGGAAAACTTTTCTTGCATTGCTTTAACTCTCTCTCTTTTTTTTTTTATTTATCTTTTTTTAAATTTCTTCATTTCTTGGGAGTCGTCCATGATCGCTGGCACCAAGGTAATTCAACAAAAGGACGCACATCTCGGGACATCAAAGGTTATAACTCTGGCATCGACATTCTAGGCACACGTGCGTCCCTACACGCTGAACGTCACAAAAACCATAGCAACCAGACCAT